AGAACACAATCTTTTATCCAAATCCATATCAAGAATGATATCATTTTTTTTGATATAGCAGAATTCAATCTAAAACCGATTCTTCACTACTTTTCTGGCTTTTCTGGCACAAAAAATGTGACCATACACCTCAAAGGGTAACAAAAAATGCGACCATATACCATAAAGGGTAACAAAATTTCATACCATATATACCAAAGGGTAACAAAAAATGTAATCATAGGTAACAAAATTTCGTATTATAGTGGAGCTAGTGTCTCCGACACATATATATCAAAGGGTAACAAAATTTGGGCCAGGTTTTTTCACTTATCAAGGTTCTATCAGCTCACATATTGTTATCAAACCTGAAAACTAAGTTCATGATTTTCGTCATTATTTTCTGAGGAACAATGAATACAATGATTAAATCCATCTTTGATTAAACAGTGATTTATACAGCATCCAGAATTATTGAGTCTATGAGGATCTACCCATTTGTCTGCATTAGCACGTAACCTATGATAGTACTGGATCACATAATACCCCCTAATATGCAATGGACATCGGCCAGAAGATGAACCAGTCGGCTTTCCACAATCAGTACAAGGTACTCTTCTTTTAGCTTTCCAATGATAACTACACCCTTCAGATCTCATACAAGTTCTTCCACAAACTTCACCGGAATTATGATAGAATGGACAAGTATATTCACCAATCATTTTTTATATATAGTGAAATAATTATTTAAACAAAAACTTTTATATTATTAATATACAAAACTTTAGATAATCAAAACATAACACATATTCAAATGTCAACTACTATTCAAAATATCGATCAAGTATCTACAGATGCTAAGTCCTCTATTCCAACCTGGCAAGATATCGAAAAAGCTATAGTTAATATAGTAAAAGCAGGCGTCTATTATAAAAAAGAAAAGGATGGCAAGTTTATGCAAAATTATAAAAAGCGATATACTGAATTACATCAAGCTGAAGATCCAGATATTTATATCTTGAACAATGCAAAGAGAATATATCCTAATGAGGATAAATATATATCAATGAAAAGTCAATATCAGGAATGGTATAAAAATGAACCAAAAATTCTTCAAGCTGTATTAAAACTTAGTGATTTATATTATCAATTAGCCAAAAACCACTTTGCTACTAATGAAGAAATCGAAGAAGAAGCAGGTGATTTCCTTAACTCTTGAGTATTCTCTGAGGCGGGTATTCAACATTCTTGACAACCATCAATTCTTCTCGAACAAAAGACCGCTTTGGACCATTCCCATCAATATCTTCAATCCAGTATAAGACTGGTTGATTTTTTTGTACCAGAGATTCCTTGATATGATATATTTGAGGTGACCAATTAAAATCGGTAGCTCTTTTTCTACCACCCTCCAATTCACCAGGTTCAAGTAAGTATCTAACAGGATCATTATATGATAATCGAATTTCATCAAACCCCATAGGTCCATATCTTGGTTTAGATGACTTAGCATATACATGTTTTAATTTTCGAGCTTCAGCAGGAGACATACCAATTAATCGGGTTTTAGTATTATCTATCTTTTCAAGAAATATAGGAAGATCATTCACCCAAGCTCTACAACGTTCCATTGGAGGTAATAACAACTCTACACCATCTTGAATATAGAATGACCACTCCTGTAAAGTTCGATTATATCTTTCAACTATACCTTGTCTTTTTTTTGATTTGCTTCTACTAATTTCTATATTATACTTAATCATTAACTTTTCACATTTTCCGTAAAATTCAGAACCATAATCTGTTTGCAATATCTTTAGTTGTGTAAGAGGAAAATTATGAAATTTATAAAGTTTTAAAAATCCTTTAGCAACACTAGCAGAATCTCGATCAGTCAAAGGATAAGTCCACTTAGTTCGACTTGCTATATCTACACAATTAAGAGCATATTTATATATCTTGTTTCCAACTTGATCATGGGGCATATAACATAAATCAGCCTGTATAACTTCCATTGGAACAGTAATCTTATTAAAACTAGCACAAGGAATATACTTTGGTCGAGGTTTATGAATTTGATATAGAGCTTGTTTCTCAAGCCATTCTTTTATTTCGGATAAAGTAAAATCATATCCAGCTTTCAAAGATGCTTTAAAAAGATTTTGTGCAGTTCTTTGATAACCAGAAGCTTGATAATATAATTTTCTAAGAGCAATACCAATATCAAGTTCACGAACTTTTTTAGTATCAATAAAAATAACAGGGATCATTCTTTACTATAATGTTTTAGCAAAGTCAGGAGATATATTATACAATAAAAAAAATAGAGACAGAGTCTCATTACTTCGTAATATCCATGGCATTTCATCGACCACATCCTAAGAGAATATCTCATGAACCAGTATCTAATCGAGAATTGGAATTGGAGCAGGTAAATCAAGCTTTAAGAGATGAGTTATCTAACGAAGTTTCAATCAATAAGTCAAATGAGAAATACATAAATGAGCTAGAGCACAAATATACCCAGTGTGAGAAAGAAATCCAATCCCTCAATAAAGAACTGGAATGGCTTGATAATGCTTTGGAGGAAGAAAAGGCGGAGTTGAGATCGGAGATAGCGTCCCTTAAAAGAAGCTTATATCAAGCTAAAAAGGAAATCCGAGATAAGGTATCCTATACTGATATTATAGAGAAGCAATTACAAGAATCAGAAGAGCGGGTTCAAAATCTAAGGCTTAGATTCAAAATTATTTCTTCAAGAAGAAGCTCTCCTATCTTATATAATTCAGAAGAAGATACAGATATGGCACATATAGACCCCTTTATAAATATCACTAGAGGATTAAATCGCCTTGAAAACCATTTCACGGGGGGTACACCCTTAATTAATCCTGTCAATATTATCCAAGGTATGTATGGCACTTTAAATACTATTTGGGCTAATTATCAAAGAATAGACCAGGATTTAGATGATGTTACAAATCAACGAGATGCTCGAGATGCGCAAATAGTACAATTACAGCAAGATGTCAATCATTTTAGACAGCAAAATATTGCTTTACAAAATCATGTTAACCAACTTACACTAGAGCGTAACAATTCTCAGAATGATCTTGCTTTGATGACTACAACTTATTATAATGAACGGGAAGAACGTCGACATTTGTGGAGGGTAGCTAAACAATTGGAAAAAGGAATGCAGATGCGGATTAATACTTTATTACTTGATAAGCTTGCACTTAATTTTAAACTCCGGAGGTGTCAAAGACATGGTAGAGAATTACAACAGGGGTTACAACAATGTCAGGCTGATAAAGGATTATTAGAATATAATCGAGATCGGCTCTTTGATAGATATTACAATAAATTCAAGGATCGAAAGGCAAGACATATCAAGTGGAAAAATAGGGAGCGCAATTCTCAGCAATTAATTATTAATTTGAATCAACAAATTTTATTACTACAGAATAATCCACCTATAAATCCAAACATGGCGGCCGCCGATAGACAACATATTTATCAAACAATCCAAACCAGTCTTTCTCATATTCCTAATTATATAGGACAAGAACCACCAGATGATTATTGTAATAAAATACAACAAGCAATTGCTTATGCAGATACAATGATTACTGATGCTAATACAACAAATGCCAATACTTTTACAGATGCCCATAAAGCAGATATTTATAAATCAAAAATGGCGGGTAAATATGTTCCAGTTCCTGCTGAATATCCAACTGGTACTGCTATTAATACACCTGATAGATTCAAAGCTTGGATTAGATTTAAATATCACGAATTAACTGTAGGAACAAGACAAGCTTCTTTAACAAAATTGACACAAGAGAAGTTTCTACCTACTGATACTCCAGAATCTTATGAAGAAAGAATTCAACTTTTATTATTACAAACACCAAATGATAATGCTGATGCCTTAGCAATTTTATGGAATCACTTACCAGATGAGCTCTTTTCAAGAATGGAAGTTACAGCTCCAGTCACCATAGATGCATTCTTTACCAATCTAAAAAATATCTGGCTTAAGCGACAACCTCATACTTTTACATATAATGGAAATAGAAATTCTATGCATGTTATTAGCCCTAATGTACCTCATATTCCACAAAAAATAGTTAATAAATCACAGGATCATTTAGAAACTATTGCTATGAGATTAGGTTATCCAGATGATGCATCACGAAATCCTGATGATTTAGAAAATTTTATTGAAGATGAATTATATAAAAGATTAGGTCATGCAAATTATAATCTTAGAAAAGAACCTTTTGGCAGTAGACGAAATTTTCCTGCAAAAAAAGTTTATACAAATAAAAAATCTAGCAAAACATCTTCCAAATGTTCCGATTGTGGTAAGCCAGGTCATAGAAAAAACCAATGTCCTAAACCAAAGAAAAGACCTACTAAAAAGACTAATTACGCAATAAGATCTGATGGTGATGATTATGATGATGAGGAATTTTATTCAGATGACCCTTCAGAAGAAGAATCTGATAATGAGAAATCCTATTATGAAAGTGAGGAAGAAGATGATAATTCTCGACATACATTTGCTTTAAAAAAAAAGATAACCAAATCTGGTTCTAAGAAGAAAAGTCAGTCAAAAAAGCCCTCTTCAGTATTTGTGATTCAAAAAATATTCCGAGCTTCATGTAAGTCATTAATAGAGGCATTGATTAAGGAATGTCCTGAGAATATTTTAGTAGAAGCTTTAAGTTATTTAGGTAATGTATACGATAGTTTGAAAAATACACTCTTAGATAACTATGCCTCAAAATATTCATCTAAGGAGAAAGAAGTAATTTGGGGGCAGGTTACAGAAGTTTATAAAGATATTTTACATTCACTAATTGTAGCTGTTGATCGAATTAATAAATCCAAGGAGCAACCACAATCAAATACATTAAATTTTGCTATCAAGAAACATTTTATCCAGCAAACAAAAAAATCATACTGGCCTGATCCGAGATATGAGATTAATTTTATTCACCCCAAAGATCCTGATGATGTAGCAACAATTACTAGTAAGGTTGCTTCAATGACTATACCTTATTCACTGGTTGATTCGGGATCTAATGAGTCAGTTATTAGTGATAATATTGCTGAAGAAATGGGACTTGAAATAGATAAATCAAATATCCCAAATATTACCGGTCTTGCAAGTAATGCCAATGTTGTAGGAACATCTTATAATGTACCTGTAACAATCAGTGATGGAAAAAATTCAATTACAGCCTATGATAATTTTTCAATAGTTAAAGCTGAAAAAAATAAAAATGGAGATTATAAGTCCCTAGTATTATTTGGTAATCCTTTACTTAGTAAACTTGGATGGGAACCCATTGTAAACCGGGAATTCAAGGCATGTCAAAATGATGTACATGTTACATTACCACTTTCAGTTCATAAATCACAACGAGAAATTTTTACAACTGAGAAGCTAGAACCATGGCATGCTCCAGAAGGCTTTAACCCAAAAAAAAACTAGATGGGGAGAATATATAGATCAATTTTTCCTGGATATATCAGGATATGTTCTACCATCTTCATTCTCCAAATCATGAATGAGATAATATATAGTTCCATCTCGAATAAATTTTTTTAATGTAGACTCAAATAAATCTTTACCTCTATTAGCCATATCCAGCTTTATTTTCTTACACTCTGCATCTTTCTGTTGCTTAATGGAATTTAATGTTTCCTGTGTAGTTTCAATAAACCTTTGATGCATTTTATCTGTAGCTTCTTTGACTCGAGCATTAATCTCCTCCTCAACAGTGGAGCTGGTGCCAGGGCACATATCAGTTACTTGTGTATTAGCGGAGCAGGACACTTTGTGTCTGATTCGATATCGGTTTTTTTTCTTTTCATATTTATCAATTTCACTAATTAACAATGCTTCAATATCAGGATTAATACTACTTGCTTGTTCTTCTGTCAATGGATTATGTACTCTAGAAGTAAGTCGATTCCATATATTCTTTTTTATGGAAGGTGGTAATTTCTTGAGAAGTTCCGAATAATATTCGTGGAAATTCATAATTTTTATAATATATATTCTGAGAATTAAAATATTTTTGGAAATCTTGGAATTCTTAGAATTCGAACGAAAATCATGGAAGTGTTGAAAATTACTTAGAAGTTCCAAGTACTATAAAAAAATTGATTAGTTTATGAATTTTCGAAATGCATAAATTCCTAGATCATATTTAGCATTTCATACATCCAAATTTGTCTAGAGATCGCTCATAGAAAATAAATTAATTTCATACATACAAAAATATTATCCTGAAACTACTAATTTATCAAAAAAATAAGTGTGTTGCAGTCATGATACAGTCGCGATACAGTCATGCTAGATTTTTTCCTATATGTTTATATATAAAATGATATACTCGCGATACAGTCGCGCTAGAGTCGCGCTAGAATCGTGTTACCTAAGTAGATCATATTGCAAATAAATTAATTTCATACATACAAAATATTACTTGGAATTGTAAAACTCGTCTAAATGTTATTGGGTGAAGTATAGAGTACTTTCTATTGCAGGCACGAAGTGTCATTTCTCACGAAATAAGCAGGCCCATAGGGGCGACTCGAAGAGTCATGGGAAAAGCTCCGCCCTTACTGCGCCGAATTACTGCGCCAGTGACATGCATGTCACGTCTAAATCTCCATTTTTTAATCGAGTGTTATATAACATTATTATTCACTTTGGCTATTTTCATGATAAGTTATATTATGTTATATATATATATATATATATATATATTTGGTCGAAAAAATAGCAAATGTTCGGATAATTAGTCACCCAAAGTAAAATTATAAAAATCTGTAGGACATTGATCTCTTAAGGCTCTATAATAGTTTTGGATTTACCATATACTTGTTTTCTAATGTTGGATGATGCTGAGCTACTATTGCTCTTTTTTCGGCCATCTCCGGAGATATACCAGCTTTAACCATACTTTTATAAGCATCAATTCTCCAATGACCATATGCCCAAGGTGTGATTCCATCCGATAATACCCAGTTCTTTGAATTAAGAGGACATAGAGCCTTTTTCTCAGATTCAACCAATGATAATACATGATTCTTAGATCGAAATCCGATATTCTTTGCATGGAATACTTCATTTTCAAAGAGACAATCTCGATATATCAAAGTCATAGGATCTACTATTCTACTTTCAGGAACTGGATCATCTAACAAAGTCCCACCTAATTTTTGATCATATGTATTAGTATTAACATTGATTGCTAAATCATTCATACCTCCTTTACTAACACCTTTATGTTTTGATTTGGTAGATTTGTCTGATATAACATAGTGATATGTTTTGGCTCGAATATGGATAGATTCAGTTATTATTTTACCTGGACACTCATCCTTGAATAGACCAATAGTTTTGGAATCAGTAAGATCGAAAATATCAGGTCTTTCTGCCATATCCTTATAGATATCTTCAGTCTCAGTTTGAAATATCATTCCATCAGTATCCATATAACCAAGCTTGGCTTTATCACCATATTTTTCTTTCACATATCCATACCAGAATCGATACATTAGTAACTTACTAAGTCCTAAGACTGATGCACCAACAATAATCGGTTTATTGAGAACTACAGATGCCTGTCCCATATGAGCACCAATAAGAGTATTGGATAATTGTCTAGCATACTTGAAAGATGGTTTGGATACTTTTTTTCGGAACTTCCTCTCATCATTATCATTATTCATAGCCATGATCTTAACATCTTGATACTTGCGAACATTTTCCATGGTCTTGCCATATACAGAATTATTCATAAGCTTGAAGAAATCTTTTTCAAAATCATTCTCAGCCTTTTGACGCAACTCTGTATTTAATTTTATATATGGTGCAAGCCAGTTAGTTTGATCAAATGAAAGTATTTCAGTTACTTCATCCACAACCATTCCCAATTTTACATAATATTGAAGCTCTTGATAATGGATTACATAGTTTTCCCGAGGACCAAGATGTGTGACTAGTTTCTTTATCTCAGAGAATCGCCCTCCATCCAAATCTTCTACTATCTTATTATTATAAGGACTAAGCTGGTTCTTTTTTATTGCAACATTCTCAACTGCAGGCGGTAAGTCATTGAGATAATCATGTAACTTGCTAGGAAAATGTGCCTTAATATTTAGGAAATACCCTCGTGGGGAATCAGCTTTAGTATTTAAAATCATTTTAAGATATCTCTTTTGCAAGTCTTTTCTATTATTTAAAACTGCTCTAGTTGCAAGCCATTTATACTTACCAATTGGTAGAAATTGACTCATGGCCCATCCATAAAGATTATTTGCATCGACATATGAGATCCATGTTGTGGGTTGAGATGGATCATAATCATCTCCCATTCTTGGGTTATTAGCTTTAAAGTAACGATGTACTGCCATTGCAATACCACCTCTTTTGGCTTTTTCAACAAAATCATGCATAGATATCTCTGTGAAAAGTTCGATTTCTACTCCAGTCATTTTAAGCATTGCATCCCAAGACAATGCAGGTGCTGATACATAATGTGCTGGATCAAGACCATAATGTTTCATAGATGTTTCTCGAAATTTTGTAAAGATATCTGTAAGGAGAAGTACATCAGTTTTGAGATATAAATCATGATACTCGCCTAAATTTCTGCATCCGAATTCTTTCCATACTTTTTGGGCATGTTCATAAGCTTCTTGAGTGATTTTGCCATTAAGTTTTCCACCAAATGCCTCAATTGGAGGAAGCTCAGTTTCATTGAATCTATCATCAGAATCGATATAATCATATGGAAGTTCTCCTTTACTACATACCAATGCTATTTGCTCTGGTGAATATCCTATTTTTTCATAATATTGTTTAGTAATTTTATGATTCGCCAAAGTTCCAATGCATCGGTCTTTATCTATTCTATGGTAATGATTGCAGTCTGTATCCTTGCATTTGACAGCACCTAAATTATCTGCAAGTTTGGCCAAGCTTGAATTCATAAACTGCATACTATCAATGTATTTCATTTGACCCACCTTCATCATTTTATATCGCTCAAATGTTTCTGCAATAACTGTTATCTGATGAGCATTGACAGATCGACCAACTGATTCACAAACTAGATGAGAGTCATAGCCTCTGAAATTATGGAACACTATTGGAATTGGTGTCTTCCATGGTTGGATTCGAAGTTGAAGATTACAATCATTATGAGCTGAACCTCGATACTTACCTGTAATATGATTATGGTCCCAGACCTTATCACCATCTAATGGCTTTTTACAAATCCAGCATTCAGTAGATTCGTCAAATTTTTGTTTTGCTATTAAGTATTCTGGATTATTTTTATCATCTCTAATATCATTATTGATTGCTAAGACTTCGTTAATTTTTACTAGTTCTTTATCCATTCTTCGAACAAATTCCTGTGTAGCATTTGGACCTCGGTATGTGAAAGGCCCCCAAACCTCTCCAGTATCAATCCAATGAACTGAGTAACAAAAGCTACTAGGTACCTGCTCACCAAGTTTGCGCATGCTTCCACCATATGATTCGTCACATTTTTTATTTTTCGATTCGAAATCTGCAACTATTACACAAGGAGCAAACATCATCCTTGCATAGTGCTTGAATTTTTCGATATCATTGATATCTTTTTTTGGTAGGGTTACTACTTGTGGAGCTTCCCCTAATCCATAACAATGATCTTGGTGATAATCTCGAGTATTCTCTGATGGAAAGCTTTGAAAGCATCGATTGCAGAGATATTTTTTATCATTATGTTTAGTATCTTTGCGTATTAGGCCATCCTTATTTTTGATCCATAGAAAATGATTCCTTTGTCCATACTTACCTGTATCTTCAGACTTATTAACATCTGTAAGAGCCATAAGATGGATAACATGTGGTCTTTTTGTCATACATTCATTTGGTCTTGGATGTTCACAACCTGCAACTTGGCATGAGTTAGGTACATAGAAATTTTTACTAGCAATTACTGGTTTTGGAGTAGCTGTTTCCTCTTTCCATTCCCATACATTGATTGAGATTTCTGGATTTTGGGCTTCGATCTTTTGAAAGGTTCTAGGACAAATAGGTGTTGGCATTGGAATACCATCCAAATTAACTATATTTAGATATGGTTTAATAACAGAAAGACGTTGTAGATTTTTCGTTATACCATCAAGAGTTGCAAAGTATGGACCAAATGCATATTTTAAACACATATCATCTCCTGTTTTAGAGTTATCTGGATTGATAGTACATTTAGTATTGGCAAGATTTTTGGGTGTTGGTTTGAATGATCCTCCAACAGCTCTTCTATATGCATAGACCTCAATATATATCATTTCTATTCGGATTAATGTCCATCCTGATCCACTTTTTAAAAACTCTTCTATTTTTACATCAATTTCTCCAGCTGAAAGAGTAATATGCTCATCTATATCCTGTTCTGAAAGAATAGCTCGCATTTCTCCTCTGTGATGACTTTGAATATAAAATGGAACTGCTACCTTACCTTCACCTTTCTTTTCCATTTTCATATAATTACAGTATACCACTATTGCAGATTTTATTTGATCTTTTCTTCGGAGTTCAGCTTTAAGTACACTTGTAATTTGTTCTCGAGCTGATGCCATGAGCTGTGGCATATATGGAGCTTCTGCATATTTTTCGGGATCATCTATTGGTGCATTGAAATCATATGCAGGATTTTCATATGACGGAACAATTGCCTGCCATTTGGATAGTGAAGATAAACTTGAGTGTTGTCTATCTGGATCTCCAACTTCAGCCTCTTCAAAGATTATATCTCCTGATGGTGCTTTAACAGCAATACTATCAAATCCCGAATCTCTATAGTGAGATTTAAATTTTTTGCTCTTTGCCTTATCTGCTAAAAGAGTACCTCCCAATTCAGGCCAGGATTCTTCGATCTCTGGTTCTTCTTCTATTAATCCCAATGCAATAAGTAAATCGATTTCCTCCTGAGTAATATTTGATTCGTTAACAGAATTGTTTTGTAATACCTCCTCTCTATGGGTTTGAGTTGATGGACCTGGACCAGCTTCTGAATCGATTTGTGGAATTGGTAAACTTTTTCGAATATAATCAACAACATCTTTCCTACTAACTTTCACTTTCTTCCCCCTTAAATATTGTTGTAAACCTTGAATTGCTTCATAAATAACTGAAACCCATTTGGAAGATAATTGTCCTTTCAATTCCCCAAGACCTTCTCTTTCTATTTCAGAATAAAATCGTTGTCTAGTAAACTCCTTTGGAATACAGCATTCCAGTTGCAAATTCTCGAATTTACCTAATTTTCTTTTCACATTTTGATATTCCCATTCAACTTTTTGATCTGAGAATAGTGTATCAGAAGTAATAGATGTTTCTGTATCTCGAATTGGTTCAGGTATTTGTATAGGAATGTTAGTTGGAGTAGGTATTGGATCAATATTTCTAGGACGACATGGATTTTTTCGATTAAGATGGGCACGAAGCATTTGTGGTGTTGCACATATATATCCACATCGATCACAAGTACGATTTTTCTTATCTTTTCTAGTCATGTATATGTATAATAAATTTATAATATAATACTTAAGAAAATCTTTTGTTTAATTAATTAATTGGGTATATCAAAAAGGGTATTATGTTATCCAATACTATAATAGATTACATGCTAGGGCTTCAAAAATGTCTTCTCAATAAGTGAAAAATCTGGCTCAAATTTTATTAGACTTAGCGTATATCAAAAATTTTTTATTAGACTTTTTCATTAGACTTAGCATATATATATATCGAAATTTTTATTAGACTTGGCATATATGTATAATTTTTATTAGACTTTTGTGTGCCAGAAAAGACAGAAAAGTAGTGAAGAATCGGCTTTAGATTGAATTCTGCTATATCAAAAAAAATGATATCATTCTTGATATGGATTTGGATAAAAGATTGTGTTCTAGATGTATGAAAAAATGATATGCTATTTGGTGTTTTGCGTGGTTTATTGATAGCAAAATGATTAGTGATAAAAATCATTATCCTTTTTGATATGAATTTGGGTAAAATAATGTATTCTAGATGTATGAAAAAATGATATGCTACTTGGTATTTTGAGCTTTGAATTGATAGCAAAATGATTAGTGTTAAAAATCGTTATCCTTTTTGATATGAATTTGGGTAAAATAATGTATTCTAGATGTATGAAAAATGATATGCTATTTGGTGTTGTTGTGTGTGAATTGATAGCAAAATGATTACCACTGTGCCAGAACACCCATTTTTGCCCTACTTATTCCTATCATCAATTTCTCAAAATTTCTGTCCGTCATTTCCCGAAGGGTACTGAGACGTAATCTTTGTGGGGGTAAATAAGATAATCTGATTGTATTGAACAACATTACAGTCCTCTTTGCCATTCTGACGATTTTTCCACTTCTATTGTAGTTGTGTTGACATCTTTGATGAATTTTCTTTTTCATAGTCGCAGGATATTCTTCGATAAATTTTCCCAAAAGATAATAATACTCAAAAGCATTACTATTCCTTATAACTTTTAATTTACCCAATATAGTCATTAATTGATTATCTTCATCTCCATCTATCCTGGGTAGTACTTTTTCATCAGTTTTTATTATTCTGAACTCATCTAAATATTCATCAACTTCAGTGGGTGGTTTGGGTGATGTTTCTTCTAAAATTTGTTCTTCCCCATTCTTTCTAATTTTAACCCTTCCGTCTGCAATGATCAACTCTTCTCCTCCAGGCATCTTCTTAGCTAATTGTAATAATTGAGTTAGAAGTGTTTGAGTAAGGTAAGTAGGTGTTTGGCTCATTTTAAAATTTTATGAATTAAATATTTTTGTTTCAGAGTAAATTTTCGCAATGTAGTATTTATAAAGTTTGATTGTTGATATTGATTGTTGTATTAATTTGTTTGTGTTATACAATTATTTGTGTTTCCATATGCCTCTCTTGATATGACTTTAACCGGTTAGCATGTACAAATCTTTTTCGAACTTTCCCTTCTTGATTCCTTAATTGGTAAGTCCCATTTAATCCAATATCATGAATGTAAAATGGTCCCTCCCATTTTTCTTCTAATTTCTTGGCAGAATTTTTGTACAACAGTACTTTGTTTCCAATATAAAATTTTGTTTCCACAACTTTTTGGTCATACCGTTTCTTTTGTTTTTCTTGTGTTCTTGAAATATTTTCTCCTGCTTCAACTCTTTTATCCGGCAAGTTCCCAATGAGTTCGTAAACTCTTTTCAATAGTAATTCTTCTTTTTGTTCTTCACTACTAATTTCTGTAGGGTATGTAGGAATTTGTAATTCAATTGGAAATATTGCTTCTCTTCCGTAAGTCAAATAAAAAGGTTCATGCCTAGTAGTACTATTAATCATTGTTCTATAGGCAAATAATACTGAAGGTAAATATATATCCCAATCTTCTTTATAGGTAGCCGCATACTTGGCCAATGCTTCGCAAAGCGTCCTATTAAATCTCTCAACCAATCCATTTGTTTGTGGATGATATGCCGATGATAACTTATGTTTTATTCCCATCACTCTGCATAGTTCATCTAGCATTTGGTTAACAAAATGAGTTCCCTGGTCTGTTAACAATATCTTAGGACAACCATGACGACTTATAATATCTTCATAAAAGAATTGCACCACCGAAGCAGCTTTGGCGTCAGGAATTGCCCTAGCTTCTGGCCACTTAGTCAAATACTCAGTCGCCACAACCATATACTTGTTTCCTTTCCTTGTCTCAGGTAAAGGTCCAACAATATCCATTCCTAATCTCTCAAAGGGTTGTCCGACTTTAATAGGATGTAAATATTCATGCTTAGTAGGTCCCCCCCTACATTGACATGCATCACAAGTCCGAACATATTCCCTTATATTACTATAGTGCACATCACTTAGTCGCTGAACTTTTTGTGCTATAACGCCATTTTTGAGAAAAAAATTTCCAATCAAAAATGCAATAAAATTTTCGCAGTCACATGTTTTTGAAGATCGTCAGTGCAGAATTTTATTAAATTTATTAATTAAAAATACTTGAAATTAAAAATGAATGAAAATAACAATAATGAGAATATTATGCATAAAGAAAATAATTTTGAATCTATCCAATAAAATATGATAGAGTTGTTACGCAATCATCAATTGCTTCTTTTCATCATCATTTATCTTTGATTTCAGTTGGCAATTCAAATAATGAATCACTACTTTTAAAACTATTATCAAACAACTCTATATCGTCATTGACATCATCAGAACTTTTGTCAAAATCATCTAATTCTCTATATATATATAATTTAAATTTCATAATATGAGAGAGAGAGAGAGAGAGAGAGGTAGGTAGGTAGGTAGGTAGGTCGGTTGGTCACGGTTTCAATTCCCATTGGAAAAATTTTCAAAATTCGAAACAATTCCTCTTTATCTATCCAATTCATTCTCTTTGTATATATTTGTTGTTGTAAATATTAACATAATGTTGTTTTTTTGAAAAAATATTAACGTTAATAATTTATTATTAACCAAAAATGGGAATGATAATCTTATTATGTACTTGCGTTTGAAATTTATTGATCGTATGTAATAACTTCACTATGGCGATGGCCCACATTCTTCCAACAATCAAGGTATTGCAAACTGTTATTGACCTTCTTTTATGTACCATCTAAAATTATAATTATCCCTTAAACGTACAAGATTTGCATGCTAATCGGCACGCAATTTTTGAAAAAATGTAGACCCCTACTAGACAAATAAATTATTAATTGACCCTATATTTTT